GAGGACCTGACCTCTTGTGGTCACAGCATTACCATGGCAATTTTCACATGGAAACCGTCCTGCCTGGATCCTCCCGTTCTCCTGCTGTTTTCCACTCATCCCCTGGTTTGCTGTGGGGCAGGTGAGAGCAAAGGAAAGGGAAACCTCCATCATTTGAGGTTCCTTGTCTGGAAAGCACGTGAGATTCCCAACCTGCTTTTGAGGAATGAAAGCAAAAGGACACGGATTTTCACGGCCAGGTTCATTTTGGTGTAGAGTCACCAAAGAAGGAATGTGGAGCTCTGCCTTTACCTGCTCCACATGCATTTGGGGGTGAGGATTTGGAAGCTGGGCACCCCCAAAGCGATGCTGGAGAGCACAGGAGGAGGAGGAGGATGTTGGCAGGAGCCTGATCCTGCTGCTGGTCCTGCTCCCCTCCCAGCGTGGCCCCGCAGAGCTCTGACACCGAGGGCTGACTTAAGGAAGGGAGTGGCAACCCAAATTTAGAATTTCCTCCTGTTTAATACCCAGGGTTGATTCGCTTTCTGATTAAGGAGGAAGAGGTGCTGAGGGAAAAAAAAAAAAAAAAAAAAAAAAGAAAAGCGGTAGCAGGGGGTTGTGAGTGACTTTCCAAATCTCAGCTGGTGCCAGGGACAGGCTCTTGGGTTGGTCCTACAGTGACATCTCCTTGAACAACCCCCCCTGACCTGCTGCAAACCCCTTGATCCCACTGGATTTTATCCTAGGTGGGCAGCTCTCCTCAGCTGCAGAAAACCACAGCTCAGGGAGTCAGTTTGTGCCTTGAAATATGGTTTGTTTTTTAACTTCCCCTCTCTCAGATCCGAGTGCTGAGCCACCAATCTGCTGAGTAAACTGCCAGGATATGCCAGAAAAGGTTTTCCAGCAGAGCTAGGTCACTCTAGTTTTACTGGCAAAGCCTCTTAGGCATAAATGAAGATTATTCTGGTGAAAGCTTATGCTGGTACACTTTATTCCAGTACAAATGATCTATCCTGGGAAAAAAAGCGCCTCTGCACGTTGGAATTAGTCTGCTCTGGGACATTTTGTGGTCTAGAAATGTTAAAATCACAGCCCTTGGTGGTAGTGCTGGATCAGCAGAAGCTGCTTCAGCTGCTGCAGACATGCCCTGGCCAGGCAGCAGCACTTGGAGTGACACTGGGTGACAAAATGCCACAGGGAAGGGTGGCGAGGGCTGGTGGCATTCCGGGTGTTCCTCGAGGGTCTGAGCTGCCCATCTGGGGTGCAGCCAGCCATGGATGTTGGCTGGTCCAAGCTGGAGTTTTGTGCTGAGTGCCAAGGGGATGGAAGACAGCAGTGGAGCTGCCCAGGGGTGGTGGTACCAATATTTTATGAAGATTTTTTTTTTTCCTTATTGAAAATGATCAATAATGTTCTTGTTCTAATTATTATTGTTATGATTATGATAATGCCAGAAGAGTTCTGTCTGAGGGAAGGGTGATGCAGCAGTTGAGATGCTACCCTGGATTTTGGAACTGCCAGGATCTGTTCCCAGCTTTGGCATCAGTTTTTGTCTGGTTTTGGGGCTGCTGCTGCTGCAAACCTCTGTGAGGTGGGAATCCATCCCAAAGAGATCTTGGAAAGGCAGGGATCTGCTGAGGGAAAGGGATGAGCACCAGAAACATAAAACTCAGGCTCCTGTGCTGTCTAGGGGATGATTCCTGGTGTGGGAACACTCCCAGGGCTCCTTGCAGCCATCCCCTGCACATGGATCATGTGGCCCTGCCCTAAATGTCATATTCCTTGGGAAAAAAATTCCCATCCAAACTCCGTGGCTGGCAGGCTCATAGTTTGGAGGAAGAAAAAGAGCTTCACTGCAAATTCTGCAGCTGCTGACGAGCTCTGGTTTCTGATCTCCCGACTGCCATGGGGCATCTTCGGGGAGAGACAGAGGTCCTTGTGCTGAAACAAAGGACACACACAGAAAATAGCTGCAGTTGAGGGGTGTGACAGAGGGGAAATGCTTTCAGAACTTTTTTTTTTTTCCTATTTTTTTTCTTTAATTTAGAAACAGGCACAGAGTTTATTTTGGTCAAGAGATAGTCACACACAGCAGCTTTAAATGGCAGAAGTCCTCGAGGAGAAGGAACAGTCTCACAATGCTTGAGCTGCAGATGCCTTTGGGGAAATGCCTCCTCTGTTTGCTGCAGTCCAAGTGGTGCTCATCAGTTTGGGAATTTATTTGTGTCTGTTAAGGATATTTCCTCAATCTAGGCTTTTTTCTTTTTTAAATCTATCTTTTTTTTGTAGCATTCTTTTTGCAGTCAAGGTCCTTTAGGACACTTGTGATGGGGAAGAGGGCAGACTCCTCATATCCCACTCCTGATGCCCATCTCTCCACCTCAAGTTCTATTTTCCCCAAACTCCAATTCCCTCCAGCCAGCATCTGGGCTGAGCTGCCTCAAGTGGACTGTTGATTTTGCTAAGTTTAAAAAACCATATTTGCTTGCTGGATGTAAATGTTTGCCATTGCTGCCGCTCTCCCGGCAGGGTTTTGGAGCTGGGAGTGTTTGGATGAGGAGTGCAAACCTCCCAGTGTCCAAGAACTTGGAACTTTTGAGTTGTGATGCTCTGCAGAAGTCCTGGTCTGGTTCACATTTCCCAGTGTGTGGCCCTTTGGGTGTAAACACCCCCAAATGTGGCCGTGCCTCGCCACAGCTCCATTCCACACACCATTATCCCTCTCCTCTCCTCCTCTTTCTGTTTTTACCTCCCAGTTCCGTGCTGGGTGCTGGGAATCACACGGATGTGGGAGCAGGGTGTGTGAGGGGAGCTGATGTGGTGACGTGGACGTGCAGGGAGCTCCTGAGGTGCCCAGGGGTTGGGATTTTGGGAGAGGGGCTGGGCCCCACACGTGCTTGGCATGGGCCAGTTGCCAGTGACCCTCCTGTGACCTCTCTGCCTGAAATATTCCCGACCTTTCCAAAGGAAGGACTGTGCTCTGCTGCCTTCCCTTTGCACAGGTCAAGGGCTTGCATCTGCTGCATCCTTGGAAGGATCCTCCAAAATTTCCCTCCATCACCCCCTGGCTGTTTATGGGGGTTTGCTGCTGGATGGCTCCGGGGGCTCTGCAGGGCCCTGCTGCTCTCCCAGCCCTTCCAAAACCCCAAACCCAGAGAGCTGGGAAGTGCTGTGCTAAACCCTGCCCTGGAATCCTCCAGGAATTTCCTGGGGTTGCTGTAGTGCCTCCCTGACGTCACTCAGCCGCGGGTGACGTGGTGGCCGGCGCTTGGCTTGTGTCAACATCCTGTGAGAGCCCGGCCAGGCCAGCCCCAGGGACAGGGCTGCTCCTCTGCCACGGCCCAGGGGTGCCTTTGGGGTCACAGATGGGGTTCTGGGGGTCTTGGGACAGTGATGGGATTCTGGGGGCAGCAGAGGGATTGTGAGGACAGCAGTTGTGTGCTGGAGACAGAATTGGGATTCTGGATGTACCAGTGGGGTTCTGGGGGCAGTGATGGGATTCTGGGGGCAGCAGTGGTGTGCTGGAGACAGAATTGGGATTCTGGATGTACCAGGGGGGGGTCTGGAGGCAGCAGTGGGATTCTGGAGGCAGTGATGGGATTCTGGGGGCAGCAGTGGTGTGCTGGAGACAGAATTGGGATTCTGGATGTACCAGTGGGGTTCTGGGGGCAGTGATGGGATTCTGGGGGCAGCAGTGGTGTGCTGGAGACAGAATTGGGATTCTGGATGTACCGGGGGGGGTCTGGAGGCAGCAGTGGGATTCTGGGGGCAGCAGTGCTGTGCTGGAGACAGTAATGGGATACTGGATGTACCAGTGGAGTTCTGGAGGCAGCAGTGGGATTCTGGGGGCAGTGATGGGGTTCTGGGGGAAGCAGTGGGATTCTGGAGATAGTAGTGGGACTCTGGATGCAACAGTGGGACTCTGGATGCAGTGATGGGGTTCTAGAGGCAGCAGTGGGGTTCTGGAGGCATAAATGGGACTCTGGATGTGGTGATGGGATTCAGGAGTCAGCAAAGGGATTCTGGAGGTAGCAGTAGCACTCTGGATGCAGCAGTGGGATTCTGGGTGCAGCAGTGGGATTCTGGATGCAGCAGTGGGATGCTGGGGGCAGCGATGGGATTCTCAAGGCAGCATAGGGTTCTGGTTGCATAAATGAGACTGGATGCAGTGATGGGATTCTGGGTGCAGTAATGGGGTTCTGGAGGCAGCATTGGGATTTTGGGGCCAGTGATGGGCTTCTGGAAGCAGCAGGGGGATGCTGGTTCCACATCTTTGCGAGAGCAGCATCGCTGCCTTGCTGAACCTTCTCTTCCTCCTGCTGGGGCTTCCCCACCAGGATCTGGGATCTCCAGGGAAGTGAGGCTGGGCTGCTGTGGGTTCGGTGTCTCCCACTGGGTGACATTCACGTGCTAATTGCTCCAAAATCCCGGGGACACGGCTGATCCTGATGGATGCAGGAGACTGAAGACAGAATTAATTCTGCAGCCACAGGCAGACCCACCATGAACACCCCAGTGGCCGTGCTGTGTGTCCCTGTCCCTGGTGTGAGCTGGGGGGTCCGGGTGGGTTTTGGGGGGAGCCCTGCCCGTGCTGCCCCCCTCCTTCCCCGCCGCCTTCCGCCCGCCCCTCCCTGGGGGCTGGAGCCAGCCCCTTCCTCGCTGGGGATTGTTTTGCAAGCAGCGTGACAGGATGAGGAGGAAATGTGCCAGGAATGGCTCCATGTCTCCTCTTGGGAGAACTGGAGTCTATTTATAAGCCCCCCTTCCCGCCCCCCTGCTCTGCTCCCCCGGGACAGGCAGACACAGCCTGTCCTGCTGCCTGCAGAGCTGCTCCTGCTTCCCCTCCCTTCCAGAATCACAGAGACATTCAGGTTGGAAAAGACCTCCAAAATCCTCAAATCCAACCTCTGAACACGCAGCATTCCCCGTGGATGGAAATGTGTGTGATGCACAGACTGAGCCACCTCCTCAGCACGTGGGTGCTGCTCTCACTGCTCCCCACGCACGGCCTGGCCCGGTGATAAATCCAAATTATCCTGTAGCAGGAGGGAATCAGCTGGAGCAGCCGTGCTGAGCCCCTGGCAGAGCTTAGAGCTGTGCCAGGGAGGTGGAGGAGAGCACTGATGCCTGGCTTGAAGTGGAAATGCCCTTAACAAGGTGGAAATGCTCTCAGCATTGATACCTGCATGGATTCCCCAGAAGAAGGTGGTTTGGAAAGACGGAGCTGCACTGGGAATTTTGTGGGAGAAACACTGGGCTGCAACTCAGGGCCGTGTCCCACACGGATGACTCAACCCCTTTCCTCTCCTCCTTCTCTTGCAGATTTCTCCAACCAGGTGAATTCCACATCCCTGAACTCCCCCACGAGCCGGGGGCCCATGGCCACCCCGTCCCTGCACCCGTCCATCGGGCCGGGCATCGGCTCCTCACTGGGCTCCCCGGGCCAGCTGCACTCGCCCATCAGCACCCTGAGCTCGCCCATCAATGGCATGGGCCCCCCCTTCTCCGTCATCAGCTCCCCCATGGGCCCGCACTCGATGTCTGTCCCCTCCACGCCCAGCCTGGGATTCGGCACCAGCAGCCCGCAGGTAAGGGGACGCTGCTGAGGGGTCGCTGCTGCCTGTCTGGGCAAGGAGGAGCCACCTCTGGGGGTTTCCTCGTGCAGACAGGCACCAAGGGGAGGCAAAAAGCAGAAGGACGAGGAGGAAACTAAGCTGGAGGTGTGCTGCTCCTCTGGGGAGCTGCTCTGGGTGGGTTGTGAGGGATCAGCACAGCTGGAACACAGCTGGCCATCAGCTGTTGTCCCCAGGATTGGGGTGGAAGGGGAGTAGTGACCACACCTGGGTCACCTGGGGGCTGGTGTAGCTGTGGCAGGAGCCAGAGCCACCCTAGGACTGTCTGGGGTTCTTCTCCTTCCTGGGAAGCAGCACATCCCCTCCAGGATGCTCATGTTCCCCACAGAATTGTTTTGATTGGAGAAACCCTCTAAGAAATCCACCACAAACCCACGTCCCCAAGTGCCACACCCACACACCTTCAACACTTCCAGGGATGGTGATCGCACCGCTTCCCTGACAATCCTTTCAATGAAGACCCCAAACAGCCAATCTCAACCTCTGCTGGCACAACTCGAGGCTGTTTCCCCTCATCCTGTCACTTGTACAAACCCAGGGCTCCTCTGCCTGCTGCCCCTTTCTCCTCACAGGGCGAGGAGTGGCCTTCGGTGGCTAAAGATTATGTAAAAACCCCTCCAAGCAGGGTGAGATAAGCTGTTTTTAAAAATAGCCAGATTGGGGTGCTGGCCAGCTCCTGCCACCTGTTGCTGGCTGCTCGCACGGGATATGTTTAGTAAAAGGGCAGATTAAGGAATTGGCCACCACCTGCTACTGGCTGCAGGTTTATTTATTCCAGGCCCTCTCTGGGACTCAAGCACCTGCCAGCACCTTTATTTTTAAATATTGGCCTGATTTATTCCCAGGAATAACCGAGCTTTTTACTACGTGGGGCTATTTTACTACATGACTGCTATCTCCAGGGTCCAGCATCCCGGTGCTGGTCAGAGAGGAATAAGATTTGCCTCTGGATGAGCTTCTCCCATGCAGGATTCAGCCTGTGACCCCCTCAGAGGTGCAGGGACCTGCTTCCCACTGAGGGACAGCAGCAGGGTGGACACGTCCCTCCCACCCCAGGGCCAGGGGAAGAGGAACTGAAACCATGCCTGGGAACGGGCAGCCAGAGCAAAATCAGCAGCCCCAGCGCCAAAATGGTGGGGAAGGAATGGGAAGGGGGATGTGAGGCAACCCTGGGGGGAGCCACAAGCCGGGGAGACGGCGGGGAAGGGGCGATTGAAAGGTGCAGCTTGGAAGCGGCCAGCGGGGAACCGAAACGAGCAGAGCTCCAGGGCAGAAGGGGAAGTGAGAGTGTGGTGGGATGGTGCTGGGAGCGAGCTGGCTCCAGCCCTGGTGGCTCCAACTCTGCTGGCTCCAGCCTTAATGGCTCCAACCCTGGTGGCTCCCGCCCTTCATGGCTCCAGCCCTGATAGCTCCAGTCTTTGTGGCTCCAGCTCCTTGTGGCACCAACCCTGGTAGCACCAGCCCTTCATTGCTCCAACCCTGGTGGCTCCAGCCCTTCATGGCTCCAGTCCTTCATGGCTCCAGCCCTTCATGGCTCCAGTCCTTGTGGCTCCAGTCCTTCATGGCTCCAGCCCTTCATGGCTCCAGTCCTTGTGGCTCCAGCCCTTGTAGCTCGAGCTCAGGTGTCTCCAGCTCAGGTGGCTCCAGCCCTTGTTGACTCCAACCCTGGTGGCTTCAGCCCTTCATGGCTCCAGCCCTGATAGCTCCAGTCCTTGTGGCTCCAGCTCCTGGTGGTTCCAACCCTGATGGCTCCAGCCTTGGTGGCTCCAGCCCTGGTGGCCCCAGCCCTTCGTGGCTCCAGCTCTGATAGCTCCAGTCCTTGTGGTTCCAGCTCTTGGTGGCTCCAGCCCTCGGAGCACCCGTCCTTTGTTCAGGGACTTGTCTGAAGTGTTTTTCCTCAAGGTGACACTTGGGAGGCCCTCAGCCTAATGGCTCCTGCCATCTGTTCCCTGTCTGGCCACATTAGGTCCCTGTCCCTGTCCCTGCAGCGGGCAGAGGCGCCTACCTGGGCCGGCAGAGTGCAGGGGGAGGAGGAGGAGGGGGGGGACAGCGAGGCTGAAGCTCGGTGGGCAGTGCAGCCCCCCTGGCCCAGCCAGCACAGCACAGCACAGGGGTAATGAGGCGTGTGGCCCCCGTCGCCGGGCAGGGCTGGCACTGATGGAAGGTGGTTTGCATCAGATGGCAGATGCCACTTGCCATCAGGCCACGCCTCGTCGCCTCTGGAGAGGCAGCAGAGCAGAAGGGCACGCGGTGTACGAGGTCCCCGGGGTGGGGAAGGAGCTGCCAGGCTCCCAAAAAACAGGGGGCTCAGCCCACCCCATCTGGTTCTGCAGAGGGGAGGACCCTGCAGCTCTTGGATGCTCCCAGCGCCCTCCCTCCAGCACTGGGAGTTTGCCAGGACCTTTGCAGGTTTGCAAACACAGCCCCAAAATCAGGGGCAGGGGATGCTGGTGCTGAGCTGGCCCAGGAGTGAGAGCCAGACCCTGCAGCTCTGGGATTTAACATGCTGCTTCAACCCTCTTACCTAAAAATGACGGGAAAACAGGGAAAAGAGTGCAGGATTTTCAGCAGGAGCTGCGAGGGGAGGACTTCCCATGCCTCTGCAGGGCTGTGTGGAGCAGCCCCAGGCATTGCTGGCAGCAGCTCGGGATGCCCGGGGGCCAGTGGGGAGAGATCAGACGTGGGATTAGATCGTCTGCCTTTGCACAATGCTCTTTGTAAGGGTGCCTGGGGGACCGGGGAAAGGCTGGGGTGTTTTTTGGGTTGGCAGGAGGAGGAATAAAGCTCTGCTTGCCAGGAGAGCCAGGATTCAGATGTGTGATGAGCTGGAGAGGGAGGGGAAGGAGCCGAGTGGTGCTGGTGTCACTGGGGGAGCAGGGCCCTGGTTCCTCCCCTGTCTGGGCTCGTTGCTGAGCTGGAGCCGTGCTGTCCCAGAGCAGAAGTGCTGTGCTAAGGCCAGGGGCTGCTGTCCCAGAGCAGAAGTGCTGTGCCAAGGCCAGGGGCTGCTGTCCCCTCCTCTGTCCTGCACGTGCTCCCGGGGCAGGCGCCAGGGCGGTGTGGGAACCCCGGGGTGGCTCTGCTGAGGTTTGGAGCCAGTGCTGGGAGAGGAACTGATGACTTTTCCCCTCCCCAGCCCGGGGCTGACTCAGCTCTGAGCAGCTGATTTTCCAGGCTGAAAAGGTTGGTGGGACCCCCACCCTCCTGGCTGGGGTTTGCTCTGCCCATCATCCCCCCAGCATTTTTGGGGGGATGCTCGGGTGGGCTCTGTGTGCTGCTGGGGCTGGGGGAGGTGGTGGGGAAGGGTTTCATCTTCATCAGGCAGCTGTGGCCTCTGGGCTCGCTCCCACAGCCAGGGATGCAGGGATCACCACCAGCTGCACCCGGGAGCTGGCTCCGCTTCCCAGAAAGGGCTCTGGGAGGAATTCCTGGGGCAGGTCACCCTGACCTGGCCACCCCTGCTGCCAGGGGAGCACAGAGATCATGTGGGACTCAAAAAGAGGTGCTCCTGCCTGGGACCTGCTCCTCCCTCCCCTGTGTGCTCTGTCAAACAGCAGCTAAAGCCAGGAGTGCATCCCTGGGTGGCACCAGCTCCCAGCTGCCTTTGATTCATCAGCTGGTACAGGCAGGGCGGCAGAGGGAGGCACATCCATCCCATTTCTCCAGGGTGGGTTTACCTGGCTCTGTTGTGTGGCTGCCAGTCGTCTGCCTGCCAAATATTCCCCACCAGCCTGGAGACTTGAAAGCCAGAGGAGCGGCTGTGCTGCTCTAATTGACAGATCACAAGCCCTGGGACTTCCCTGAATTAATTTGTGACAAGTGCAATTGCTGGGGATCTCTGTTAGAGCAGAGAAAGGCACAAACTGAAGCACAGGCCTGTGAATCCATGCTGGGTTTAGAGGGTGGCTGGGGTGGTGGCTCTGGGACAGTCCCTGGCAGGCTGATTCCCTTGGGGACACCCCAGTGATCCCAGCCAGCTCTGCTGACCAAGAGCTGACCAAGTCCAGGTCCCCCATCACCCCCTGGACAGAGTGAGCTTGTCCCCTTACTGAGATGGGTCAGTCCCACAGCTCTGTGCCTCAGTTTCTCTTTGCACACAGGGGTGTAACAGCCCAGTGGGGATTCAGCCCGGGAACCCTTCACTCCACAGCAGTGCCATGGTGCCAGTTCCACCCAATTCTCTGCTTGCTGGGGCCCAAGGAAAGGAAGGAGAGACATTTGGGAGTTGCAGGGACATGTCCCACCCACTCCAGCTCTGGAATCCAGGCCCTGTTGCAGCTGGGATGTGTTTATTTGCCAAGGAGCTTTCCTTTGGAGAGATAATGCTGGAGGGATATCTATAAATTGCAAAGCTAAACAAGAGTGTCCTGGCCTTCATCATCCATGGAAAGTCTCTCCCCCAGCCAGCAGCTCTCCCACGAGCCACCCCTGCAGATCTTCTTGCCTGTGTCCCGTGCTGGTGTGAAGCTGGGGTGGCTGCTGAGCTCTGGCTGTGGGGGCAGTGCAGGAGGAACTTGCTTCCCAATTAAATAATGGAAAAACATCCTCCTTGGATGGGCAGGGTCAGCCCTGGGTGCTTGGGGAGCTGGCCATGTCCTGCCCCTCGTGTCACCCTGCTGCCAGCTCAGAGCCAGCCCAGCTCCTGTGCCAGCCCAGATGAGTGCTGTGCCTTTGTGTGCCCAAATCCTCTTGGTTCAGCAGTGCTGCTCCCCACTGGAAGCGTGTCCCCTGCTTGTCCTGTCCTGTGTGTGGTACAGCCCCATGTCCCCCTGTCCCCAGTCCCAGCTGAGCCCTCTGCTTGTCCCTCCACAGCTCAACTCGCCCATGAACTCCGTCACCAGCACAGAAGACATCAAGCCACCCCTGGGGCTCAATGGAGTCCTCAAAGTGCCAGCACATCCCTCAGGAACGATGGCCTCCTTCACCAAGCACATATGTGCCATCTGTGGGGACAGATCTTCGGGTGAGGCTGGCACCTGCCCTGGCAGGGCTCAGGGCAGTGGGCTGGGGTGTGGCAGAGAGCTGGCATTGGCTCCTGGGGAGTGCCAGCACGGGGAGTGCCAGCAGGAGCTCTCCTTTGGGACAGGACCTGCCTGTGCCTCACACCAGGGGATGAAGAGCAGAGCCAGGAGACCCCAGGTCCTTGTTCAGCAGTGGGGTCCCATCCTCACCCTGCTGGCAAACAATGCATCAGGGGGTGTCCTCTCTCTGCCCATCCTTTGATCCACGCCGGTGCTGTCACACGGTGCCACATGAAAAGATGCTCTTGACGTGGAGATTCTCCACTCCTGGGAGATAAAGATGGGCTCATTCCCTTTGCTCTCCTGCTCTTCTAAAATCTCCCTGCTCCAGGAGATCTCTGGTTGCCTGCTTTGTGAGCCCTTGGGGATCCCTCCTGTGATCCAGGCTGGAAGTGGAAGGTGGGAATACAGTGGAGGGTGGGAACACAGTTGTGTGTCTGCTGTGGGGGGTTCAGGAAGCTCACAAGGGTACAGGGGGACACGGTGTCCACTGCTGCACTGACCCACCCCTGTTGTATGGGCCAGGAATGGCCTTTCCCTGGATGGAAGGCAGGATGTGACCCATGGGTGGCATCCTGATTCTGTGGAAGCCAAGAACCCTCTGCTCCCCCCAAAACTCAGCTGAGGGAGACCCTGGGAAGATCTGCAGGCAAAGAAAGGATCTGGGACCGCCTTTAAACCTGAATTTTATCCCTCCCCCAGGTAAACATTACGGGGTTTACAGCTGTGAGGGCTGCAAAGGCTTCTTCAAGCGCACGGTGCGGAAGGACCTGACCTACACGTGCCGGGACAACAAGGACTGCCTGATCGACAAGCGCCAGCGCAACCGCTGCCAGTACTGCCGCTACCAGAAGTGTCTGGCCATGGGCATGAAGAGAGAAGGTAAGGCCAGGCCTGGCCAGGGGGCTGCAGGGAGCTTGGAGGGCACCCAGAGGTGGTGTCGGCCTTGCCGAGGGGTGTCGTCGCTCCGCTGACAAAAATCTCGCCTGTGGTTTGGTTTTGCGCCTCAGCCAGAGGATCTGGTGGCCTTCAGAGTCTCTGTTCGTAGTGTCACTCACTGTGGAGCAGCACTCAGTGCCAGAGCAGTGTGTAGGTGATGGGTAGGGACATTTTCCACTCCAGCCTGGCCTTGGACATTTCCGGGGATGAGCTTCTCTGGGCATTCCTGTGCCAGCAACTCAGCATCTAATCCAGCGCTGTATTTTTTTTCTCATTGGGAAGAAGAAGCAGTTTGGTCTCTTTAAGATAGCTCTTCCTTAGTGGAATTTAAATTTAGGATCTAAACTTCGCCAGCAGTGCCTCTTTTAAATGATCTTTTTAAATGCTGACTGCATCTGTTCTAATCTAGCTGGCAGAACAGGCTTTTAGCAGACATGACGTGAGAGTGACCCCAGTTCTGTGCTGCTTTCTCCCCTTACATCTTCAGAGCCACACTTGCCTCCCTGACAGGCTGATAAAGGCAGCCCTGCTCTGGCCCTGGCCCACAGCTCCAGCCTGGGAGCCTTTGAAGAGCACTTAGGCCTGTCTGGAGCCTTGGATAAACAGGGCAGTGCTGGGGCTGCTCTGAGTGTTGGGCAAACCCTGCCACGCTCAGGTTATGGGGTTACCCCAGGACCAAAGTCACCAAGTGTCACAGCTGTCTGTGCTGGAGGTGTGGAGGGATTGCCAGGGCACCCAGGGGACCTCCTTGGCCCTGCTGAGTTAACCCTTGGGTGCTCAGAACAAACGTTCCTGCCCCAGCAGACCATGGAATGGAGAGATTGAGGCGTTCAGGGCAGTGCAGGAGTGGGGGTGGCATTGCCCTTGGTGCAGAGCACTGGGCAATACTGGATCCCACAGGAGATGTGCAGCAGGATGAGGAAAATCTGAATCAAAGGCTGAGGCATGGGAGTCTCAGATGACCAAAAAGAAGCCAAGAATTCTCCTGTGTGTTCAACGAGAGAAATACAGAGCATCCCCTTCCCCTGGTACTGTATCCAGAGCCTTCCACTGACCCAGCTACCTTTCAGCCCCCCAGAACAAGGTGTGCAGGGCTGGGAAAGGCAGCAGGAATGCTGGAACTCTGCCACCCTGTGAGCAGGTACCTGCTGCCTGCCTGCCCTTGGTGGTGATTGCATGGGCAGCGCCGCTAAAAATTACAGGTCCATTAATTAATTTCTAAATGGTGGTGGAAGTCCCCAGGGAGCACGTACAGTGTGAGGACTCTATTAATTCATCTTGATTAACATTATCACAATGAATAGCAAATGAATTCATAATGATCAGACAATTATTTAAAAGTGTGACAGATGGGATCTTGGTAACTCCAGGAGTGCGCTCAGGCAGTGCTGATGGATCTGGATGGGGAAGGGCAGGAACTGGTGATTTGACAGCAATCATTAGGTGATTTAGGCATAATCCACATGTAGGGAAAGCTGGAATAACTCCCCTGTCTCTTGTTATAAACCTAAAAATTCAGTGTCTCACAGAAATGTCTCAGTTGTCCTAAAGCTGAAAGTCAGAAGTTGGGTCTTGCTGAGCTCTGGAGTTTCATGTGTGATATTCACCAGATTTGTCAAATAAAGGTTTCTTCCCATTGCACCCATCCCAGCTGACTGGAATTGTCCTTACATCTCTCCTGTTCCCACCTCTATTTTAGGGAAGAGTTTTGGGCTAAATCCTGCATTGCCTAAGTACTCACAATGTAGCTGGCTTTTTATCCTCTAGCATAAACCCTTGTATCTTTTAAATAACAGAGCCTGGGTTATGAGCCTCATTTCCCTAAAAAACACCTTGTTCTGGAGACCTAATTTATAGCTGTGTAAAGGCACAGCAGATTCCTGCTGGGAAGTGTCTCTCCTGTTGCCCAGAGGTGCTGGGATTTAGTGCAAGCACAGTAAAAGCCTCTAAAATCAGTGCTGGGCTGAGTGCGAGGCAGGGCTGGGCTGGGGAGTGATGCTGGGAGGAGGAGTGAGAGCCAAGGTTGTACTCCATTTAAAGAGGGTGAAAGGAAAAGGGTTATTGGGTGAGAATTTGGATTAGAGAAGGAAAATCAACCTGATGGAGGTTTGATCCCAGCAGCTGAGGGTCTCAGGTGAACATACTGAGAGCAGACCCTGTGCCCATCCGAAGCAGCAGCATACCCAGGGTGGCCCTGCTGGGGGACAGGGATCCTTCAGGGCTACAAATCTTGGCTTAAAGAGGGGAAAGCCTGCAGGAGCAGAGGATTCCTCCTGCTGTGTGCATCCCTTCTGGCTGTTCCCTGCTAGGAACACGTCAGAGAGATCCCAACATTCGCAGTGAATGAGCCCCATGCTTTCTGAAATACTGCAGCCATAATAAATAAGCAACTGGGAACATTTTTTTCCCCTATGATTTTCTGCCAGCTGTGTAAGGCTTTGGTTTTTTATACTCTTGTCTCCCACTAAATACCGGATAGTCAACAAAATTAAGATTACCATCAGGGATCTTGACTAATGCAGGGATTATTATTGTGGGGGTGGCTGTTTGCATCCAGGAGCTGAACTCTCCGTGCTCAATCTGTTCCTCATCAGGGTCTGAGGTGTCTGTGCATCAGCAGCCTTGGCTTTGAGAGGGAAAAATTGGGAATTGCCTCGGAATCGGGGAGGCAGAGCTCTTGTGAAGAGTAAACACCGGGGAGGGGGCTTGGAACGGGGGGGTCTTGTGTGGCAGGGGGTGACAGCAGAGGTGACAGAGAGGTGACAGAGAGGTGACAGGGTCGGCGGGGGCGTGGTGAGCTGGGGCTGTCCCGGCTGAGGAGTGCTGGCAGCGCTCGGGATCGCACAGGGAGCAGGAAATACCAGCGAGGAGCCTTTCCCATGCTCCCGTGGCCGCTCACAGGGAGCAGCGTTGGGAACCGGCTCCCAGAGCCTTGCCCCGGACGTGAGGGGCTCCTGGGGAGAGCCAGGCTGGGCTGCACGACCCGCTGGGCTCCCGCATGCCAGCTGCAGCCTGGGCTTTGGTGCCAGGCGGGTGAAGCGGCTCTTGGTGCATCTCAGAGCCCATCTGGAGAGCAGAGAGCTCTTCCCCTGCAGCACCTGCAGTTCAGGCTGCATGGCTGAGCCCAAAGTTGTTCCTAAACCCAGGTGCAGGTGCAGCTGCTGAGCTGAGATCCCGAGCTGGGCTCGGAGCATCCAGGACATCTGTCCAGCTGCACGCCTGCTCTCTGACTTCAGGGCTTTGTTAGACTTCACAGCCTGAGTTAATTCTGTCTCTTCCTGTGTTTGTGGGTTGGTTTTTCCCCCCCTCTCACTTGCCAAGCTGAGGGGTTCAGCCTGGGAAAGGTTGGACTTGCAGCATCTCCCCAGCCTGGAGACCTTCCCGTGTTTCCAGGGAGCTGCTCAGTCACTTAGCCCAGAGGCACTGAAGATTCCCACATGGACTTGTGCCTGATCCCCTGCCATGGCTGTGCATCCCCCTGCAGTTTGGGCCATCCCAGCTCCTGGACCATCCCTCAGCAGCACGAGGAATCTGGGGACAAAGAGCAGGAATTCAGGTTTCCAACCCACAAGTGAATGTGAAAGCAGGCAAGTGGCCACAGCCTAGTGAAGGGGCAAAGTTCAAGAGCACAGTTATTTTTAGGAGTAATTTTGGAATGGAAAATGTCTTCCAGCTTAATGAGCTTGTTTCTTATATCCTTTTAAAGTGCTGCTCTTTAAACCAGCTGGTTAAATGAGGCTGGGTTTGGGGTTTTTTGTTTTTAAGGATGCTCTTAGGTTGAAAAAACGAGTTTGGCTTATGGTTTTCTCTCCTTTTGTTGCTGTTTGTTTATGCTTCAGTGTCCAGAGAGTGAAGTGAGCTAGAGATTTTTTGCTGTTGTTTTCCAGAGCTGTTCCTCTTGTGAACTAACTGCATGCAAAGGTTTCAATCCACTTTTTAACACTCTGAAGTTACACTTTTTAATTATCACGGTGGTATTTTGCATCCCTTAAAAAAATTACAGTGTTCAGTTGAAAATGTTGGAGGAAAAAAACCCCATTTATTTCATGTGTCGCAGCTTTTGAGGTTGTTTACAGTAGCAGAAAACTGCACCTCTGAAAAAGAAAAAAAAAGGTGACACACGAAAGCAAAGCAGAAGAAACACTGTCTGAATTTGTTTTCTCAGCTGTCTTGGCATTTTGGATATAAACAGGTACCTGGGGCATAAATGCTTCAAGATGCTGATGATACACAGCAGAGATGTGGCTTCATGAAAGGCAGCAGAGCCCAATAAATTCCAGTGTGAGAGAAACGAAAATGCCCAATAACCCCCACCCAGCACCTCATAAATAACCTGCAGGATGGGGGAAAACTGAAACTGAGCAGGTTTGGGGCTCTCTGGGCTGAGCTTTGCTGCCTTCCCCCTGTGCGCTCAGTTCACAGAGAGGTGTTTCCCTGAGAAAATCCCATTTTTGGGGCAGTAAATTATCCTTTCCCCATTGAAAGAACAACCCCCACCCTGTTGCTCCTGGAGGGGTGGATTTCCATCCCAAAAAGCTCTGTATTGACACTTGGGTGAGTGTCACTGGAGCTGCTGTAGCCTCCAGGTCTCTCCCAGCAAATAAACAAAGCTGTGCTGCTCCTGCCCTCTCAGAAACACCATTGCCCTGTGGAAAATCCTCTCCCTGCCTCCACTGACATTCCTTTGGGGCAGAAGTGCAGTGCCCAGGAGCGTGGCCACCCACAGGGGTTGGTTTGGGCACCAGAACTTCGTTGGGTGGCACTTTGCAATGGACTCAAAGCTGCTTTTTTAGCCATAAGATGCTGCCCCATGAGCAAAGCCAAGGTGTCCAAGGAGGATGGATCTGGTATTTTGGCACATCAGCCCTCGGGCTTGGGTAGCTGAGGTTCGTCTGCAGTCCACAGGATGAGACATTTTGGATTTTAAAGACACCAGAGGTCAC